GCTTTTTGAAAAAAACATGAATGGACTCCACTCTGGGAGCTGACTGGAGTGAACATTTCAATTTATTCCAGGTCTTGGAAATGGTTGAAATCCCCAAATTTCAAAGGTAGAATAAATTTGACTCAAAATTCATAAGCTTTTCAAAAGGGTGATGATCACATAAGTCCCTTTCGGGGCTGACAGTCTATGATTCCGTGCTGGCAGGCGTCCCAGTCCATATTCCAATCTGCCAGGCACAAAAGACAGCCGTGAAAGAGAATGGCCTGGCCCTGCTTGTGGCAGGTGATCACCACCCGCTTAGTGCATCCTAATAGCCCAGGTTACAGAGGCGATCCCAGCTAAGCCAGGTTCTCTCGTTTCATCCCAGTGGTTCTCTACCCTGGCTGCATATTAGAATCAGCTGGGAACATAAAAAAAAAAAGGTGCCCAGGCCTCACCTTGCAGAGAGTCCAATTTATTTGGTCTGGACTGGGCCTAAGAAAGTAGAGCCAGGGTTGAGAACCATTGCTCAACATTCCAAAGTTAAAGATGCCACTTCCAATGCACAAGGGCAGTGAGCAAGGAAGTACAGAGGCTCACCATAAACCCATCCTTGTTACTGGTAAAACAACCCAGCAATACCTGGGGATGAGCCCCACGTGTCTAGGTGCATTTACGTGGGGCTCTATGAATGTATACATATATTATGCACATGTGCACACACCCAGAGTATAGAAGTTAATAGCATAAGACTTGGAGTAGGACAGGCCTGCATTCAAACCCCAGTTCTGGAACTCACCAGCTGAATGGCCTTGGGTCAATTACCTAACCTCTCTAAGCCTCAGTTTCATCATCTGTAAAATGGGAATGGTCATATCATCTATCTCCAGAAAAGTTAAATGAGCTAGACCACAAAAACGCAGAGCCCTGTGCGTGGCACACAGGAAGCACTCAGTAAGTTTTAGCTGCTAACAATGGCCACCTTCTTGCTGTTCCAGGTTACTGTTAACGTCCTGGAAGAAAATGATGAAAAGCCGATTTGTATCCCAAACTCTTATTTCCTGGCCATCCCAGTGGATCTGAAAGTTGGCACAAACATTCAAAATTTCAAGCTCATGTGTACTGATCGTGATTCCAGCCCCAGGTCCTTTCGTTACTCCATTGGCCCAGGTACGGTACCTGACATCGACGATCCTGGCCTGGCTCCTGGGGTTGGAGGCCTTAGCTGCTGGTCATGGAGAATGGGTGGGGGGCCTGTGCTCTCACGCTGATCTGGGCACAGTGTGTATGGGTGTGGGGTGGTAAATGAGGAAAGCAGGGATAAGGAGCGTACTGGTCCCAGTGCCTCCCAGTCCTCATCTTGCCTTCCCCTTCTCTTCACCTAACTCCTCCCAGATTCCCACACAAGGCTGCCCAGAGGCCCAATGGAGGGTGTATGCCACTGATGGTGACCCCAACTTCCCAGACTATCATATGATTCATGAATATTATTAGTGTAGTTTAAATTTTTTTTTAGTCCAACTGCTCAACCTGCAAGCTTATAGTGGGGGCAGGGAATCCCAGTCCTCTCTCTGGATAATAATAGATTATATGCATTTTAAATGTATCCTTAGGAATTCTCTTCTGCTCCATTCATTTGCTCTCTTTAAAAATATACCAGGGGGAGGGGGGGTTATGAGGGGTGGGGCAGAGCACCCCTCAATGGAAATGAGACCAAAATAGCTCATCTAATGAAGTGCTGGGGTCAGAGATTTAAACCCAAACAAGCAGAACAATTCCAAGTGAAAGACTAAAAACCCATCTTGGCCGCCTGCTGAGCCCTGGTGAGCATGAACTCTGAACAGTAGGGAGCCTCTTGAGCAGGTTGTGTCACAAAACCCAGGGGCAGAGGCAGCCTCGAGACCGCAGTTGCCGAAGATGGAAATAACACATACTGAGAACCCTCAGGCCTTTATGGAGCACTTCGCTGCTAAGGGAGTAAAAATTGCATCATCTCCTGCTCCATTTACTGGTTTTCAGTCGGTAATGAGTCTGGAGCCACCGGAGGAATGAGCCAAGGCTGCTTGGGCGGGCAGCCTTCCTGCCCTGTTCCCTGAGCTGTGAGCCCTGAGCCCTAACAGACTGCAGGGGGAGGTGGGAGTGGGGTAGATTCAAGAGGGCCTGGGACTGCAATCCCTGCAAAGCCAGGAGACACCTTCCTTCAGAGGAACTCCAGGGACATAGGTCACCAGTTCTGTGTGGCCCACCAACTTCCACGAAAGGCATGAAGTGAACTTGGCCTATGGTGAGGGATGTGGCCCCCTCTACGCTCTTGTGCCCACATATTAGTCTGAGTGCAAGTTCCACGTGGTTACCAAATAAATGCTGCATGATAAGGACTGGCTAGAGAGGCTGCACCAGGATTAGGAAATCTCTGCCTGATGCTCCGCAAGATAGCGGCCGTTCTCCGGGGACAGGTGTGCTGTTGTCCTTTTCTGCTCTCATCCCCGTTGCAGCCACACTGGTTGTGAGCAAGAGTTTCTTTATACTAATGAACTTTCTGGTACAGACAAGGCCGATATTGTAACCCTGGTGCATCGGAAGTAGCCTACACAGAGGTATGGACATTTGTGGAAGAGACTGGATGTAGTTTTCCTCTAAATATTTGTTTCTCACTCTCTTTTCTTCCTTTGCCCCAAATCCTTGTCTCATGTCTCATTTAGGCAATGTGAACAGACATTTCACCTTTTCTCCCAACGCCGGGTCCAACATCACACACCTGCTCCTTGCAACTCGCTTTGACTATCCTGGTGGGCTTGACAAGATCTGGGACTACAAGCTACTTGTCTATATAACTGATGACAACCTGCTGTCTGGCAGGAAGAAAGCTGAGGCCCTGGTTGAAACAGGGACAGTGACACTGAGTATTAGCGTCATTCCTCCCCCAACCACGATTGTCACCACGACCCCCAGGGTAAGGATTTGGGGACCTGCCCTCCTCAGTTAGATCCTTGTGATTAATGTCAATGGAGCCCTTGGACCCAGGAGAAATATGTGGGTTGGCTGAACAGAGTTGAGGTGTTTGGACGTTGCCAAGAAATGGCACCCATGGGCTAAATTGGAGTAGTCACTGTGGGTAAATAGAGATCTGGGTGAGGCCTGAGACTTGTAGAGCCACTGACTTTTCCTCTCCTGCGAAATAAGGGTGTACACTTGAGTAGGAACTTGTGCTGGATCAGGTGCCGGCCGGCTGTGGCACAGGAGACAATTTTCATGGGCATGTGGCTAGTTGCTACCTCACAAGCCCTTCTCTGCTTGCTCTTAAGGGCCATGAAGTCTGTGTAGAGAGCAGGTAGCCGCCAGGTGCTCTTCTCCACTTCTTTTGAAGCATTATCATGCACCAATCTGTACCCTACTCCCCATCTCCACTCCATCAAAATTCATTCATTCAATCTACAAGTATTGACTTAACACCTACGACAGTGATGGCGAACCTTTTGAGTTCGGCGTGTCAGCATTTTGAAAAACCCTAACTTAACTCTGGTGCCGTGTCACATAGAGAAATTTTTTGATATTTGCAACCATAGTAAAACAAAGACTTATATTTTTGATATTTATTTTATATATTTAAATGCCATTTAACAAAGAAAAATCAACCAAAAAAATGAGTTCATGTGTCTGAGGTTCTCCATCACTGACCTACGATATGCCATTCATTTTGCTGCACAAGCCCAACATGATCTCTGCTGTCATGGAACTTATAATCTGGGTCAGTTGCTCTCAAGTGTGGTCCCTGACCAGCAGCATCCGCATCGCCTGGACATGTGCTGGAAATGCACATTCCCAGGCCCATTCCAGAATATTAGAGTTGTACCTCACCCAACCATGGTCATCACCACAACCTCATGGAAAGCACATTGGAACCTCAAATTCCCAGACCTGTGTTTTTAAACTCTGGGATTCTCGTGGGCACTAAAGTTTGAGAGCCACCATTGTAAAGGGGGAGACATTACAAATACATGCAATTTAATAAAGGTATGCGATGTAGTAAAATAACTACAGATTGTGACAAATGCTAGGAAGAAAAATAAGCAGCTGCTGAAAGAGAACCAGTGTGACGAAGGGAGGGAGAATCTGGACTCTGACAACAGGACCCTCTCCCCCTGCGCTATGGAGGAACCGACTTATATTTGTGCTGACTCTTTTGTCCCCTTTCCTTCTGTTCCCAGTAAAAGCCACGCCCTTGGTCGGCAGCCCCATATGTGTAGTATGCCAACGGAATGGTAATCAAAACCTTAGAAAATCACCTATGACACATGGTCAAATTTTGCCTCTCAGAGTCTTACCAAGAGTGGGTTAATGTTCATTTGCCTGATGCTTGAGTCAGGATGACCCCAGTGAACGGAGGCATAAGGTAACCTTAAGGGTTTTCCACTGTAGTCGGAGCCAGTAAGCTCCCCGTGAGGAGTTGCCACATTCCTGGGGCTTACAGCATGACCCAGTTGTGGCATCCGCACTCCTGAAACCCCCATGGCTTGTTTGTCTGTCTCCCACTCTGAGAAGCAAGCGCTGAGCTTGAGGTTTCACTGTGATATCAGCCCACTCACCTGGCAGCTTGTAGTGGGTGAACACCAACAAACCTACCAAAGTGTTTCAAAAAACAACTTTCGCGGCTCATGCCTTCCCAGTGAGAGACAACGGCGCTATGAGTCCCTGAGCTATGCCATGTTGGGGCAGGGAAAAAAGCCAATGGCATTTTTAGCTTTTGGGAAGGGGAAGAAAGACAGAGAATAAAATTAGGCTTAGAGCTGCTTTCCAGTTCCCTAAATTTTCTGTGTTTTGATCTAATGGATTTCTGGAAAGACTATAAATAGGGCGATGGTTTGAAGCAACAAGAACTATGCACACAAAGATGTCCCATTTATAGAACAAGAACAAAGAGTGCAATAAACACTCCACATGGGGGAGTGCTGATGTCAGGAATGCCACCACCCTCTGCTCCCCCTCCTCCTTCTCTGTCCTTCAAGCCCAGGATCACCTACCAGATCCGGAGGGAAAATGTGTATTCTCCATCGGCATGGTATGTGCCTTTTGTCATCACGCTGGGCTCCATACTGCTTCTGGTTCTCCTGGTGGCTCTGACCGTCCAGTTGGCCAAAGCCATCCACAGGCACTGTCCCTGCAAGACTGGGAAGGACAAGAAACCTCTGTAAGTAGCCAGTGGGCTGGGCCCTTCCCACAACTTCCTCTGGGACACTGGTTCCAGTGATTTCAGGCGAAGGAAAGATAGAGAATTAGAATTTCTTTACAGGGTAGAGAGGAAGGAAAAGGACACTTGGGGAGAGAATCCTAGCTGCCCTTAGTCACGGTGTACCCTCTTCCTCACCTGCTGGGTCAGGAGACGGTTCCTTTGGTTTTCCTGGGCACCTGCCCTGTCCTTGATGTATTCTCAAAGAAATTGGGTTTCAACCCCTGGGTGACTTGCCCTGGATACATGCTTCAGAAAAAAAGCCCAACTGTGAGCAGTGTTAGATATGCTGTGCTCATCTTTGTAGAATATTTAAAGGATGGAATAGAATTAGAAAAACTGATAAGGAAATTAAGCTGATTTCCTTATCAAACCAAAAACTGATAAGGAAAATAATCATTGTTCTTTTACACATGGCCCTGATCTCTCACACTCTAGGGCTGCAAATACAGACCTGTTTCCTCTCCCTCCTACTCTCCACTAACACGCCTCTAACTGCAACAGCCTGCAGGGTCTCTTTTACTGGCCAAGTGAGGTATGAGAGCGAAGAGAAGAGATCACTAGATTGTTATAAGCTTCCCCCAGATACAGTTTCTTGAGTTTCAGAAGCTCTTATAATTAGAATGGGCTTTGGCGTTAGATAAGGCCTGGGTTCAAATCTTAGCTCTACCATTTTCTAGGTACATGGCTTTGGGCAAGTGGCAGCTGTGTCCTTTTTTGAAAACTAAACAATTAAATGAGCAAATGCAAAGAAAGCACTTAGTACTGCTCCTGCTATAAATGCTTCGATACACTGTTTTTTAAAAGCTTGTTGTATTATTTTTCATGGCTCATTGAGCTCAGGATTCTAAATTCCCAGTTTAGCAATAAGCCCAAGAATCTTATGGTGTTGGAACTTGAGTTTTAGAATTTCTCACTGGCAAAAGGAAGGGATGATAAGACTCATGTGCCATTTAAAGGTATTTTGAAGACTAACTAGTACTGTCAAATAATCTAAAATCTATGGATGAGAGACTCAGAATAAAACTATAAGGCATTAGCATAAAGATGTGCTTTGCATTTTTGCCATATTTATTGGGGAAGTTGCTATTGGCAACCTTGACTTCAAGGTAAGAAATCCTTTAGCCTCTGCTGAAATTAAAAAGGCATTTTTGTTTGGACTCTACTCACAAATTGATTTTGGGGGAAAAATAAATTGGCTCCAAAAAGTGAAGCTTAAACTTGTAAGGATGGTAGTGGGATTTGAGCAGAAGTTCTTAAAGCAAGTCAGTTATCCAAATTGCTGCAGCTCACAAGCAATTTATGGTTAAAAGTTCAGTATGCACCTTGTACCTGTTTGCTTTAACTTACATTCTAAATATTAGCCATTTTCAACATGGTTGACTTAAAAAAAAAAAACACAACTCGTTAGTAATTCAGACTCAGACCTGCTCTCTCTGGAAATTAGTTATACCACGTGGCAGCCAACATTCGTTCAATAGCAAAATAGAATAAAATCGGAGAATCCAAGGTTATCAGGGAAAGGGTCTTAGAGTCCAAGGCCAGCTTTTTACGTTACCAGAAACCAAAGTTTAGCTGCCAGCTAAACCATCCTGCTGTGAGCTACGCCGTCTGCTCAGCTAGCTACTGGGGAGGAAAATGGGGCAGGAAGAATTGCCGGTCAGTCTGATTGGGGTTGTTAAGCCTCATCCAGTTGTCAGAGAAGATATTTTCCCTGAAGTTCTATAAAGCAATAATTTTCAAACTTATCAAACTCTCAGAACCTCCTGAGTCCCAAACCAATAGTGATGGAGCTGCTCTGTTTGGAGCAGGGGTGGGAGCCCAGCCTTCAATTTAGTCCCCATCCCTGGCCCCTTTCAATCCACTCCTGAATCCCAGGGAACACAGTTGCCCAAAGGACAACATGTTGTGAGTGTACGAGTACAGAATGCTCTCAGGTTAATTCTTATCCATTCCCTTTCTCCCCCATAGGATGAAGAAAGGAGGTACGTACGGTGCCTATTCCCTTTGTTGCTGTTATTATTATTATCATCATCATCACCATCATCATCATCATCATTTTTGCCGGTTCTGTCGTAGTACATGAAAGGGTTCTGACTTGGCATAGAATCAGGATGTAATCTGTCTTGGTGGGTTTTTAGCCTCATCATCCATGGGTGGAATGAAACTGAGAAAAGGAAGAAAAAGCTAGAGAAAAGGAAGGTCAAGATACACGGTGCCGTTGGCCCACTCGAGTCACTCATTTTGGCCCCGCCTATTCCCTACCCTGAGTCACTTCTAATCAGCTCAACCCAAGCACCTAGAGGTCCGTTCCCACTGGGTGGGACAGGATCGAAGAATTCTCTGTGGGTTAAATACAGACGGTATCTACCCTCTGCTGACCCCTCCTGAGGACAGCTAATGCTCTGTATTGGACAAATGCCTCTTTTTAAAGCACAAATGATACTTTATTCTGAGATTGTCATGGATTTTATTATTTTCCAAGTTATTTAGGTCAGCTAGTTAAAAGGGGGGCTGGTGCAGTCATACGGGCTGGGAGAACGGAATGATTTCAGGGACGTTGGTGAGTTGAGCAAAGTTGATCTGACCAACTCTAAGCTAAGGAGATGTCGCCACCTGGTCCCAAAAGTTGTTGCCTCAAGGAGAACCCAGGCCATGGGGAGAGACAGGACAAAAAAATTGGAAATGTGTTTTTAAAAATGATTGTTTTAATCACTCCAGTCATAGGTATGTGTGTTTGACATGCACACGGCACATCTAAGCAGGATTAGAAATTTAATTATAATGGTTATTAATCATATCACATGGGATGATTTACATAAATGAGATTTTCACAAATGGTTTCCCACCCTAGTTCCTTTTTTAAAAGGGCACAGGGAATGGATACAAGGAATCCCCACATTATGAACAAATATATCAACTCTCTTTTTCTTTCTTACCTATAACTTATTTAAAACTAAATTCCATTTAAGAACTAATTTCCTAGGTCCAATAATAATAATAAGCTGGAAAAAGAGCAAAAAAAGTTTTTTGTTTTGTTTTTTAATTCTATGTATTGTGTGTGTGTGTGTGTGTGTGTGTGTGTGTGTGTGTGTGTGTCTGAGGAGATGGAAAGCCATCAGCAAACATGTCTACAGAGAAAATTTTTTGCCGTGTCTGCCATTCTGATTCCAAAGCCTGTTTAAGAGAAATCCCATGTGGAGGTAGAATTTTAAGGTCAATTTAGTGTCCAAAAAGCTTAACTTCTGTCTGTTCTATTCCCTGCAGAAATGAAGAAAACAAAAAGGGAAGTTGTGGTGGTAAGCTTGGCTGGCCCCGGGGCACCTGGCTTGGGTGGAGGGTTGTGGGGGGCTCCCGTCCCCCGCCCAGGCAGGCCCTGCCACAGCCTCAGGGGGGTGTTTATCATTCAGGGAGATGCTTGTATTTGGCCACTGGAACAGATTGCCGTGTGCCGTGCTCCTGGTAGAATTAGTTCCCTCCACTGAACATGTCTACTGATATATTCGCAGAAGAACTGGATTTCATAAATATTGAATAGTGGTGTTTATTATCTACACCAGCTCTCCAGGAGAGTGAGTTGGGGGAGAGGAGCTTAAAGACCAGAATTTAAGCTTTCGCCTTCAATAGGATTTCTTTCCTGTGTCCTTCCATAACCTTGAGGAAAAATGGATAAAGTGCAGCTCTTGGGTCTAGGATTGGCTCTGCCCACTTAGACATATCATCTTGCAGACTCCCTCAGCCTCCTTTTAAAAAAAATATTTTTTTATTGATTTTGTTTTGGAGAGAAAAGAAGGGAGAGGGAGAGAAACATCTATGTGAGAGTGGAACATTGATCAGCTGCCTCCCGTACACCCCCCACAGGGATTGAGCCACAACCCTGGCATGTGCCCTCATCAGAAATCGAACCTTTTGGTGCGTGGGACGATGCCCAACCAATTGAGCCACACTGGCCAGGGCTCCCTCGCCTCTTTAAGCTTTAGGTTCCTCATCTGTGAAGTGGGAGTGAGGATGCCTGCCCTGAGAGAACAGGTGGGGAGATATTTTGGAAACTGTTAAGTCACATAAATGCCAGGTGTGATAGCCGGAGCGTCACTCCCCCCTATCGTAAGCCTTGTTTTTCCTTTACTGAGTGATGACACTTGAAGAAGACACCCCCCCAACACACACCTCCCCCAACCTCTAATAATAAGACTTCGTTATGATCCCAGACCCATAACTTTGGGGAATGATGAGCACAGCCAGGAGGACAATTCAGTGCCCTGGAATTTTTGCTTCAGGCTCATCAGCGAAGTATTTATCTGGGTCGGTCTTTATACAAACAAGAAGTGATCTCTTGCTTCCAGGTCTTATTGTCTAAGGCAAGTATCCTTCATCCGGAGACTGCCTCAGACTTATGTAATATTAAATTAATCAATTAAATAAACAAATCTCCATGACCATAAAAAGCGGGGCCGCTGAGCTGATCAAATCGATGAAACCCATCCAGTCTCCATTTCCTCTCTCTTCAGTGCTGGGGAGGTGGTGGCTTCAGTGATAAATACTGGGGTTGGAGGGCCCACTAAACTCCGAACGCAGTCCTCATCAGCATGCCAAAGAATGGCACCTTGGAGGACATCATGTGAGGGAAGAGGGTGTTTCAATGGGGTCGGAGGTCAGGTCCTACAGCAGTGGTTCTCAACCTTCTGGCCCTTTAAATACAGTTCCTCATGTTGTGACCCAACCATAAAATTATTGTCGTTGCTACTTCATCACTGTAATGTTGCTACTGTTATGAATCGTCATGTAAATATCTGATAGGCAGGATGGTCTTAGGCGACCCCTGTGAAAGGGTCGTTTGACTGCCAAAGGGGTCGCGACCCACAGGTTGAGAACCGCTGTCCTAGAGGGTGGCACAGATTACGGATCAGGGGGAGAAAAGGATAATAAGCACAGGGTGGAGGTAAGGCAGGCCAAGCTCTGATGCAACGCTGCACTGACCTAAGGGACACAGCCAGAGCCCAGGGTGGCAGCACATGGGTGCTCATCTGTGCCTGCCTTCCACGTCTGCCCGACAGTGGGCTGAAGCAATGCAGATCCTAGCCGGTGTTTGTGGCATTTCTGCTCTTTCTTCTATGCAGCTTAGATACCTTTTACTCAGGATGCTTTCCTACCCCCGAGTCTGGGTTAAATGTCCTCCTCCCACACCCACCTGCACCCCCATAGCTTCCTCTATCCCCGCCTCATAGAGCCCTTATCACTCGGTATGGTAGTGCCTGCATGTCAGTGGCTTCCCCTGGATCACAAGCTCTGTGCAGGCAGTAACCACTCCTGCCTGTTCACTGCTGTGTCCCCAGCATCTAGTACGGTGCTCATCGAGTAAATAAGTGCCCAGAAGGCCCTGGGTAAGAACCTGAGGCTGTGAGGATGCGTGGCCTTGCCTGGGAGGAGGATTGTGCTTGAAACTGTGTGAGGTTGTGCTGGAAGCTGTCTCTCTTCTCTCCTTAGGAAACAATCCAGCTGAGCACGGTCTTTGATGGTGAAGCCACAGACCCAGGTAACGAAGTGGCCGTCCCACCCACTAGAGTGTTTTGCATATTCCAGGCTGGTAGAACCTTGTCCAATTTCACGCCCTTAACTCCGTTTTGATCCGTTTGGTCAGCTCTACAGCGCTGGCCCTTCTAGGCTGCAGTCCCAAGTGAGACCAGCTCGGAGCTGAGCTGGCTTGCAGACACGTGATCCTGTGTGAGGCCTCAGAGGGTTTCCACCTCCAGGCTCCTACTCAAGGACCTTGCCACAGTCTAGCCTCCCTTTCTAAATCACAAACCAAGTCAAGGAACTGGTGAATCCAAGAACCCACAATTTTTCCCCCCTGCTCATTGGGATTGAGTCTCCATCCCTGATCCTTTCTGAGGCTTCCAACACCATCCTATTTGGTAGTGAGAGATACGGAGAAATGGGAAGGATGGCTTCTTTTTTTTCCTAGATCGGGGCCAAGAATTTCTTCTTGGTTGGCAAGATAAACAGAGGTAAAGCTGGCCTCCAGAGCTCTCCTCACCCCCATGAAATCAGCTCCAAATTTAGCTGCTTTACACACATCCTTCCACTTACAAAGGCTCAATTATAGACATGAATACAGGGAAGGAACCCAAATCCAGGAGGCAAGTGTGTTGGCTCCCTGCCACGCTCACATGCAAAGGGCCCGGTCGTCCTCAGAAGGAGGATGGCTCCTCTCCAGGACAGGCTGCTGCCGCTGCTGCTGGAATTAAATTTCCCTCTATTATTAGGTACTTGTTACCATAATGTGCCCACATTAGCCTAAGTGCTGGTGGATCCTCAGCGGAGAGGCCACTCGCGCTGCATGGAGATGGCAGGAGCAGGGGCTCGCCTGCAGCTCCGAGGGAAAGGCCAGGGGAACCAGGGCCTTCGCTCTGCATTTGCGTGTGTGAAGCAGGAAGCAGGAAGAAGTGAGCCAACCGGACACATGTGAGCAGACACGTCAATTAGCGTCTGCTGGCTCCCGACACGATAAAAATGGCTCCCCTGCTTCATCACCACGGGGGCCATATTGGTGTGTCTGTGTCCACAAACCTCTGCTCCCCTAACATAAATACCAGTCAACGTCGTCTCCTCCTCCCCTGGGGAATGCCTTTTAATAGCAGGCATTCAGGGGTCTTTTAAAAACAAACCAGAATGAGATGGGCAACCCCATTAGAAAGTGAAGCTAATTTGCCCGAAGCTCCCATGGAGTCCAGGTTTGTGTGGCCTCCTTCTCATCTTGCAACTGAGACGGCCTGAGACTCCCCGGAACCTTCCTGTCCCCGGAGGCACAGTATTTGCTACCGGTGTGGTGGGAGCCGCACAGCAGCCGCGGAAAGGGCAGCTGGTGAGGACTGATTGCACCGTTCACAGGCCTGCTTTCCAGCCGGCGATGCTGAGATTCTCCCCTTCTGGCATCCTTCCTCCGCTCCGGGGCTGGCGCTAGACAGGGTGGAGATGGGGAGGACAGTCATTTGTTTACATGGTCATTGTATTTCCACCCCCAGTGACTGGTGCAAAATACGAATTCAACTCAAAAACTGGAGCCAGAAAGTGGAAAGGTCCCCTAATGCAAATGTCAAATTGGAAAGAGTCCAGCCGCCAGGGAGCTGCTGCAAGCAGCGCTGTCTCCGCGGGAGGGACGGGGCCACC